AGCAGTTCCTCTTCCTTTTCTCTGGTCTGTAGGTCCCTGTTTCACAGAATGGGAAGGGACCTCTGTGTAAACCCAAACTACATTTCCAAATGTACGCTCTTTCCAAATCCACATTCCATCTAATTTTCTCCTCTTTCCAACCCTCTCCTTACATGCCTAATAATTTTCTGCTTTTCATCTCCAAATTCCCCTTGCTACTGCTCCCACCATCTTTCCCTTAGCTTTTTGTTCATGCTGCTCTTTCTGCTCTCTCCCCACTCTGTTCTCCAGCTTTCATATTGTGAGACACCTACTTCCTGGGCATCCTTATTGCAGTGCTGTCTCTGAATGTAATGAATTATGTCAGAGTTAGCAAGTTCCAAAATTTAGATGGTGTTCTCAGTTTCACTGCTAATCTCCTCGATTTGGGGAATCGGGGAGAAACCCTGAAATAGAAATGAGGAATCACATAGAGGCCTTGATGTCTACGTAGCGTTATCTGTTAGTACTTAACACTTGTGCACCTGTCTGCAGGGCAGAAAGCTATTTCCGATGGTCATAGAATCACAGAATGGTTTGGATGGGAAGGGACCTTAAAGCTCATATGGTTCCAACCCCCTGCCATGGGCAGGGACACCTTCCACTAGACCAGGTTGCTCTAAGCCCCATCCAACCTGGCCTTGAACACTGCCAGGGATGGGGCAGCCACAACTTCTCTGGGCAGCCTGTGCCAGGGTCTCACCACTCTCACAGGGAAGATGTTAAACAGCACCAACCCCTGAGGAACACTGCTTGACACAGGTCATCATCTTCTAAAATTTGCTCTAGCTTTGGGTCAAATTAAAAACATTGCACACCTAAACCATTGCTTAATTTTAGTTCCAGTGGAATTCTGCCATTTTGACAATATTTCATATGGTCATATATTTTTACATATTTCATCTCTTCCTATCCATGGTTGCCACTGTGGTCAAGAAAAGTTATAAAGAGTAGATAAAATGAGGAAATACAGATTGCAGGAAGGAGACACGTGTTAGAGTAATAGGAAAAACACAAGATACTGAGTGAAACAATAGTTCAGGAGAGCTTTCATATTTTTAATTTTGTTTGAGGCCTAGATTATTTGCTGGCGTGCACTGGAGAAGATGGCTGGTTGGGTTCAGCCCTCCTGTCTTGAGTGCTAACTAATTATAATTTTACTGGAGGGAAGAGAGAGCAGATTTCTAAGTGAGAACTTTTAACCCTGGAACACTTGCTGTTGCTATACTGACAGTGAGTGTATCAGGTTCTTGAAGAAATAAGGGTTAGGATTTAGTTCATAAATATATCAGAGTTAAAACTGCAAAATACAGATAAATAATATGGCATACACTGGTGTGCCATCACCATACAGTGTAACAAGTAAGCAGATGGCTGCATTCCTTATACTCATTTGGAAAAATCCCGAGTTAGAGGTTTGCAGTACCTGAATCTAAATTGGCAGACACATCAGTGTTCATCCTGCTGGAAAGATGAAACAATGATGGAGAGAAACACCCTTTGCTACTCTATCACCTTTTTCATGAATGAGGGAGCTGTACAGTACGGTTTCTTCCCCATTGGGTGGATTCTCCCCTTTCAATGGGTTTTTAACACTGTTGTCAGGTACTGTGGGCAGGTGCAAAGCAAGAGGCTCAGGAGCAGTTTCTGGTCCTGCTGCTGTCACCACTGTCATCCTTAGTGGAGCAGATGAGGAGTGCACGGGGGACACCAGGTTTCTGTTTAAATTGCAAGTAAAGGAGGTGCTGATGATACTAAACAGTGCCTTTTTGAATTTACTCTTTTTAGTGTAAGTAGTGGTTTCCGCCCTCATCAGCGGGGTTTACCTCAGAGCTGCCCATTGTGCAAACACACCTGTGTGCTGAGGAACATCTGCCCTCCACCACAAGTGGCACAGTGAGAACAAAGGACAACCTGAAGGCAAACAGAAGGAAAATAACAAGCCCCTGATTGGGGCAGAGGGGGCATATGGGGCAGTTTGGGTCGGCTGAAGGAGAGTGGAGGGCTGGTGCTGGTAGGGGGTTTGTTTTGGTGGGGGCTGTGTGGGACACCCTGCTTTCCAGGTACCCTGCCATGGCAAGGGGTTGGAACTAGGTGAGCTTTAAGGTCCTTCCCAACCCAAACCATTCCATGATTCTAAGTATACATTTCAAAATGGGAAGTAAAAGGAAATGTTGTGTCATATATATACAAATGAGTTGGCTTGTTAACTATCACTATCTTAATAGTAATACAGTTTGATCTAGAAGAGAGAATACTTGGATCTGTTGTAACTTACTCTGCTGTTAAGTTTATTTGTGTTTGTATTTCATTTTTTGAGAAGAGACACTTTGGTTTGGGTAGATGCTGCAGTCTAACCCAATGCCTTCATACTTCCTTGTCGTTTGTGCCTTTTCAGCTGTGTCATGGTTGCCTTAACAGTCTTTTCTAAAACAAAGGATTTTATTTTCTTACCTCTAGTGTTTCAATTTTTGTTACTAAATTATAAAAGTCTTTCCTAATGGCCTGTTTTTTAGTAAGGTATGACTTACTTCTTCAGGAGACAGAAATCAATTACATGATGGTACCTTTACTTTGAAGCTAACTTATATAATTACTTCTTGAACCACCTCCAGATTTGGAATCCCCTAGAGAATGAAACAACTCAACCTAGATGTTCTACAACCATTAACTTTTTCCTTTAGATGCCAAAGATAGGAAATCTGTCTGCTTGTAATAGAGTATTTAAATAGCCAGTATCATATTTAAACAGATGGTATTGGTGTCCCATGCGAACTGAATGTGTTTGGGAAGTCATTTTTCACTTTTGACATAGTTAGAATCAGAATCCAGCTATCAGTTACTGTAAAACAAGCAGCTTGTACTGTATACTAATAATTTCTAAGACTATTTTTAATTTCATTTTGGTCCTGTTCTTCTGTCCTCTTCCACAGGCCTTGAAGCAGCAGCAGCAGAAGCAGCAGCAGCAGCAATGCAGAGCAGGCATGCCTGTGTCATCTAGCCAGCATGTCCTTCTGAAGGCTGTCAAGGCAGCCAGCGACTCCACACCTGCAAAATCTGGTATGTGCAACGACACCTCTGTGTGCTCTTTTACTGCTGGGTCTCTTCAACTGGCCTTTTATTGTTTGTAGGGCATGAGAGAAGAAAGTGTTTCTTATAGCATTCCTTTTTGTTTCTGAAATAGTCTAGTTTCTATTTTCCTGGCTTTGATTTTATTAGGAATGTGTTCAGTAAAGAATAGATCCTGAATAGAATTTACTCTGCCATTGTCTGGTTAAAAGCTTCTTTCTGTGATAAATGTCTTCCTTGTAGCTGCCTGTATGCTGTGGTCAGGTAATTCTCATGGCTAAGCAAATGAGGTAGTTTTTCTGTTAGTATTTAGAGTTTTCAAAAGTGGCTTCTCAGTCTGTAGCATGTCTTTCATGTATTGTTCCAAAGATGTATGCTCTGCTCAGAAAGCTCCCCAAGAGGTTTTCAGCATTTATGCTGCATTAGAAATTGAGATCACTGCTGTTGTTCATTCAGGAGCATTAGCTCTTTTTCCACCAGCAGCATTTCACTAGTTATCATAAATTGTTGGCAATTGCTTCCAGCTAGTTTTTTCTAGAGGCTTTTCAGGGTAACTGATTGCCATAATCTTCTGGTTCTGTAAGCCTGATTCACGTTGTTCTCTTTCAGATGCAAGAAGTGCCTCTGTGTTTGTATAGGGCAATTTTTGTGTTGTACAAGTAAATGACTTAGTAGACTAATGCTGTCATCATTTTATCAAGCCACAATTTGTCATCTGTAGGCATTGCCTATAGTGGCTCTTGAACCACCTCCCAGATCACTGAGCACCAAAGCAGAACCATGGGCCTTTGAAATCCAGCACGTTTGGCCTGGTGATCTGTGTCCGACAGTTCTGATGGCACATGTGTTGAGAAGTGTGTAAAAGCAGGGTAGGCTCTAGTAGGACCTCCAAATTAAGAGGACGTGTCTTTGTGTTCCTCAGACTGGGTGGGATTTTCTTCACTGGTTTTTGCCTAACCTGGTGGGTGGGAAAGTTGACTTTGTAAATGCCTTGTGGCAAACAACACGCTGTGAAAACAACTAATTTTTGTTTGGTTTTGAGACAGGCTTCTTACATCTTTATTTCGTTTCTTCTAATTATCAAACAGGCAACAAACAAGTAGTGTTTATTCAACAATTTTGCCACTCGTGACTTCTGTAGACATCTCTTCTTCAGTCTGAGGAGTCTCACTGTAATTTCTTATTCCTCATATACAAAGCTATGTGCTTTTTGCAGTAGATAATGAAAACTTTGCATGCTGTTCAGGGTGCAAGACACATTCTGAATTTGTATAGCACCATTTTGACAGTCTACGTTTTGTTCATCTTTTTCTTAACAATTCCTAGCATTCAATTTTCCCTTTTTGACTCCATCAAAAGCAGGCATTTTCCTACAAGGGTTATGATTCTCAGATTCTTTCCTGAGTTGCCATTTTCTATTGTAGAGCCTGACAGTGTATATGTAAGGTTAGGGAGCTCTTATTTACATCACTTCATGTTTCTGTACAGCAAAGTTGGCCTTCTGGGCTGCGAGCGCAGCCTGATACTGCTGGGTCGTGTTGAGCTTAAAATGTTTTTCTTAGTCTGTAATCAGAATCTTCTCTTGCTTCCTTGGCTTGAAACTCAAGATTTCGTGTCCTATTCAGTATGGACATAGAGCACAGGTTATTTGATTTCTTTTCCTGCTGCCTTTTACATAATTAGAGATGTTTCCTCATCTCATGCTGATTTTCTTTAGGATAAAATTCTTTCTGTGTTTTAGCATGTTTGTTTATTCTCTCTTTCCAAATAGCTCTAAACGAATCCAAACCAAAACTAGACCAATCTGTGTGCTGGTTATGTATGGCTGGAATGTTTCTGTAACATCTGTTCAGACATATGCATGGCTGCGACTGGGCACCATATATCTGATCAAAAGGAACAGGCGTGTTTGTCAGCTATACTTCATGCAGCATTTAATAGTAGAGTGAGTGTCTAACAGTTGATGAGGTTGCCTGTTGCTCCCAGGTCAGACCCTTTCAAAAAGGCTAAGGAGGAAAAGGTTAATATCATCTTGCTTGATTGAAACTTGGTCCTAAGCTGCTCTTGTGCCCTTTTCACCTTGGGTGGTGTGGCCTGAGAAGGAAGCCAAGAGGAATACTATACGTTTCTCATAACAGTATGAAGACAATGCACCACCAGGTGTATGAGGTCTTCAGCATAAAATGATGGTTTAAAACCCTCCTGCAGTTTCTCAGCTAACTAGGATTAATCCTGAATGGTTGATCAGCACAACAGGCAGATACTGGTCTGGAGGACCCGATCTCCAAAGCTCCCTGCTCCCAGAGGAATTGGATCTCTACTTGGAGACATAGGAACAGCAGAGACCTGAGAGGGACTGAAGCAGGATATTTTGTGAGCTTTTTAGCTAACATAGAGTAATCATTACAATAGACTAATGGAGGAAGTAATCCAAACTCTTAGAGTACTTCAGATATTGTTTGGTGTCGTTATTTTTTGTGATTCTAATGAGGCTTTTGCCTTTCCTGGCTCTGTGTGATGCTGGCAGCCTGCCATCTGCCCCTTCCCAGGCATGAAGTGGCAGACCACTGGGACAGGAGGCACGTGACCTTCTCTCCTTATTTTGGTTTCACACTTCCCAAACTATTGCCACATCCACATCAGTCACAGCTGAACCATTTTCTTCCAGCATATCTATTTAATTTTTGTTACTGGTTTTTCTCTCAGACTTTCCTGTATTTTGCTGCTACACCACAGCTGCAAGGTATTGTACATTGTGCACGTCAACTCATCCAGTTTTTCTAATAGTACTCTGAAAATATGTTCAAATCATAGGACTGTTCATGTTGGTTGGGACCTCGGGAAGTCTCTTGCAGCTGGACCTCCAGCATTTCTAGGGGCCAGTCAGATCTTTGAAAACCTCCAAGGACAGAGGTGGCACAACCTCTCTGGGTCCCTGCTCCACTGCAGGCTGTCCTCACAGGGATACTTTCTTTTCTGTATATCCTGACTGATTCTTGCCCGTTTCTTCATGTTCTCCTGCCAGGCGCCACTGTGACAAGTCTGGCTCTATCTTCCTTCTGTTCTCTGGGTAGGAATAGCAGCAACTACCAGGTGTCCTGCAATCTTTTTTCTTCTCCAACCTGAAGAAGCCCTAAGCCCTCAGCCTCTTCTCACAGGTAGAGAGGAGAATGAGAGATACAGACTGGGTGAAGGAATGATTAGTGCAAGTTGTTAGTAAAAGCCAGCATTTGTTCCATTTGTGAATTAATCACCTGTATTGTGGAGTTTCTCTTTCAAGGTATGGCACTCCAGTGTCATCTTCCCTTACTTGAGTGAGTGATGTTACTCTAACATAAGCCTAGAGAGTGCAGGGGAAAGACCAGCTCATGTTCTTAATTTGTCTCACTTGAGGAGGAGGGAAAGGAAGATGGAGAGAATCTTGGGAAGAAGCTCTTCCCGGTGGCGTTAAAAATCCTGTTGTACAAAAGAGAACGTGGGTGGCAATGGATTGTGAGAGGAAATCACAGTGATGAAATCTGTCTAGTTGGGCCAGTAGTGACCTCGGAGGAGGACATGAAAATATCTGTTAAGTATTGGAAAGAGGAGGAGGAATTCCTGAGGGTGGTCTGAAAGAACAAAAGCTACACTAGTAGTTCAAAATTTAGAAAGGACACATGCAAATATGAAGAGATTTTTTCTGACAGTGAACTCTAACAGAAGCTAAAGCTTCTCTGAAAGGAATTTTTAACAAGATCATTACTGGACTGGATATAAATGAGAAGTAAGATGTGACAAACTGGGAAATAGACTTAAACCATAAACAAAGTGGTTGTCCTGCCCTTTATTTTGTGATAGTCTGATAGCTACAAAGGGCACTTCTATTTCCAGCCTGTTGGGAAGCAAATGCTACAAGAAAAAAGGAGTGTAAGTATCCTCAAAGTGCTTGTTCTTGAGCTGCTAGGACTAGGGCATGTGTGTTAAAGAATCTTTATTTCAGCCCAAACAGATGTCTTGTGTAATATTTCTTTGTACATCCCTGTGTTTAAATGTTTCTATTTCCTTTGCAGCTTGGGAAGGAAAGCAGTCAGATGGACAGTCGAGCAGCCCTCAGAACTCCACTTCTGGTTCCTCTCCCTCTGTTAAGCTTGATAACTCCTTGCCAGGGTTGGGAAAGAAACCATTCCAGAGATCTGACAGGCTCCATGCAAGTAAGATACTTACTTTTCTGCTTACAGAGATTTGGTTGCTCTGATGACAGAACAAAAGCCTAAATAACAAAATTGAGGAAAATGTGTAATTAATTGCATTGCTATAGTGACTTCTGGGCAACTCTGGATGGTACTGCTAGTATGCTGTGTGAATGGGGATAATAATTCAAACTGTACATATGCAAATAAGCCTTTTCTCGTTTCTTACCATCAGGGGTTTCTACCTGTGAATTTGCAGCTTGCTTTTTGAGAAGTAAAAAAGGACTTGCATTATTTAGTAGACTTGTTAATGCACTTAAGAGACTCTGATAACATTAAAAAGAAAAAAGAAATTCCTTCCCAGATCTTTATGCTACTTGCTTTATGTTACTTGACTTCCTTCCCATTCACTGAAGTTAGGTCCTTCTCAGCTGTCCAGACCTTTTGTGGTTTCTTTTATGTACACCAATGATGGACTCAACTTTGGTGAACGTAAGGATACTCTGAGGTCTCTATGCTAGTCATCCTAGATTGTCATTGGTGAAAACAGACACTTTTCAGAGTTGTTTCATTCGTCCCATGTAATTAGGAAAATCTGCAACTTAAGTAGATTATAAACCTGCAGAGCTGTTTTCTGAATGACTTCTGATGGAGAATACTTCCGCTAGTGAAACAAGCCTCCATGGCACACACTTTGTTAGGCTCTGTTACCTTAAAAGTAAATGCTGTCATTCTTGATGTCAGGGCAGCAGGGTAGTACTACCCATTGTGTTAATAATGTGCTTTTAATCTAAGCTTCATAATATGTGGTATTTCGCCCGTTACAGACAGCGGATGCATCCAAAAGAAGTAGAGCACACAGTGCAAACGCTGCCTTTTGCAGCACATGCATGACACTGGCTATAGCATAAGGGTTAATGCTTGACTTCATGGCTTTTAAACACAGAAAAGGAAAGAGAATAGTTACTCGTTACTGCTTTGTCTTTCCACCCAAGTACAATGAGCTGATGAATTCTTCTGAAATGCTTTTGCTAGGTGCAAAGTAGGAATGTCCAAGAAGAACTCCCAAGGAACAAACTGACCTTAGTGAGAGACTTAAAATCGAAAAATAGAAAATCAATGTGGCTAAAAGCAGTTCTAGAAACCTTTCTGAAAAAGACTCCTTGTCACTCCCCAGATAGTGGGGTTCTACAAGATTTCGGTCAGCTGACACAGGCTACAATGGAGATTGTGCTGGAAAGGACCCAATTTGTTTTGAACTGTATATGCAAAGGTAAAATGTGTTTTTCAAGTCAGTGTATGAAATGGATTATGAAGGTGGCATTCTGAAAATCTCAGGGACAGTGAACTCCAAAGGCACCTTGAATCCTCTCTCAAGTACAGTGATACTCATGTCTTGGTGGTTTGTTGCAGGGCAGCTGAAGAGAACAAAGTGTGCTGAAATTGATGTGGAAACTCCTGACTCCATTCTTGTGAACACCAACCTGCGGGCACTGATCAACAAGCACACGTTCTCCGTCCTGCCTACAGAATGCCAGCAGCGCCTGCTGCTGCTGCTGCCCGAGGTGGACAGGCAGGTAGGTCTTCTGTGTTCTGCTTCTTCTAGGTTCTGCTGTGGAGGGAAGTGGCTCTACTGTGTCAGCAGGGAGCATCTCCAGAGGAAATTCAGGGTAGCCACCCAAACACTGTGTTTATAGCTAATGAGGTAGGCTGCTGCTTCTGCTTCTGTGCACAGTGTGGAAAAAAATTGGAAAATTCTTCAATGATTTGTTTAGGTATTTGTTGCTACCAGAAAAAAAGAATGTGGCTTAATTCTGCTAAATCAATCCACACTCCCAGCTACAGCAAGAGCAATGTTTCTGTTACACTGGACTTGCAGAGGGCCAGGAGTGATGGGCATGCAGCAGTTTCAACATCTTCCTCTCTCCTGTACTCACCTGGACTATTCAGTACAGGATTGACCCTGCAGCCTCTTAGGCTGGTGCCTTCCCACAGAACATCAATACAGATGCTGCCATCTAGTTCCAGCCTCTTCTGTTTCTCTGGCATCACTGCTGTCAAATTCTGAATTTGGTAAAGTGAAAACTGAACGAGTTTTCTATGGCACATTCACACTGTCCAGACTGCAGAGCAGGCCTGACCTGTGCCACAGAGCTTGTGCCCTGACCCAAAACACGCTGTTAAAGGTACCAACACAGTGTGTGGCAGCTGAAGAGGCAGCTTATGCTGTGGATTGTCTGTTTGCGTGTGAAGAGAGGAATTCGGAAAAGCAGGAGTGTTTAGTGGGGAGGAGTAGGCTCCTTTGCTCTGAGGGAGACACAGAAGAAATGGTGAAGTTTTTCACTAAGCTCTTCACTAAACAGTTGGTGATAACAGGAACAATTAACGTGAGTGACAAGGGGGTAAGGACTCAGCCTTCAGGACTGAAAATCCTCTTACTTAGAAAGTACCTCTTAGGTAAGAGAATCTTTTGGTAAGACAGTTACTTCAGCTCATCTGGACCTGATGAATTTTCTCTGAAGCATGAAGCAATCTCAACATTGCAGCAGTTTTCTTCAGCAGCTTGGAGAAGGCAGGGATGATACTGAGAGATGAGAAAAGAGTAAATATCACACTTGCATGTAAAAAGAGGAAAAAACAGTTGAGGAAGTGAAATTCAATCTGTTTATGCTCAATACCATAAAAGTTGCAGCTAGAACAAGGATGATTCCTTCCTTCCTTTTACCTTACTCATGTTATGTTTGTCTTCAGTATTCCTGCCCCAGCTGGCCAGGAGCTTCTGAGCAAAGGAGGAATCTGTGCTATGCTACTCAGTTGTAGGAGCGTCAGTTCAGATGCCTTAACATATGTGCCTAGAGCCATTTTAAATGTTCTCTAGATAGCAAAGCTGGCTTCAAGATGCCACTCCAGATGGAAATCTTCCATATGTCCTGTCTCAGGTTTGCAAGTCCCTTTAAAATGCTTTCCTGTGTGATGCTCAGATCAGCACTAGATGCCTGCATTTATGCATTTCAGTCACTTCCTCAGAGTCTGTCTCAGCTGCTTACTCAGGGCTTCTCTTATAGAAAGTAGAACTCCAGTTGGTACACTCAAGAGCCTCTGAGTACATGCAGGTGTCTGCCTCAGGCTGAGGTGAACCGAGTCCCCATGTCCATACACCCAGTTGACTCAGTCAGTATAGTCTGTGAAGGGACACCAGCCTAGATGGAGGTGCTAGATGGAGCTGAGACATCCATGTGCAGTGATGTGGTACCTATCTCAGCGGCCATGGCTCTCACACAGTGTTAATAGTGTGTGCGTTCTGGCAGCTGCACCATCGTCTGCTTTACAGAGGGTGCTTCCCTGAGCAGGCAGTGTTCCTTTGGAGCTAGGAGGAGTTCTAACTTTTTATGTTGCCTCATAAATTCTGATCTTCAGTCAGCATTCATCGGGGACTTGTTAGTCCAAGGCTGATCCAATAAATGTTTGAAGCAATTGTTTTTTAAGTCCTGTGGCCTTTGTAATAATTTGGTATGTGTCAAAATATGATGTGATGGAGTTTGCAGCTGGAGTTTACTGGCAAGAACCTCACAGCAGATGGTAGGACATTTCTGCCCTGGCTTTTAAGTTTAATTGTCCTTAAATTGAATTAGAATTTGACTGAGAACAAGTTTTGACTAACCCTATAATACTGCTTAGCTCCTGAGAGGCCAGATCTTACATTTTGCTGTAATAAATCTCCTAGAGCAGCCCACCACATCAAATGGTGCTGCGTGCTTTATCGCACATCAGTGTTCACTGTAGTAAACAGGAGAAGAGGCGAAGGCGTTGGACGTGCCAGTTGTGAAACGTCACCTGTCTGCTTTGTGTTTCTTGGCACGGACTCAGTCTGAGCTGCTACAGCTGATGCTTCTGCAGAAGGGAAAGGCAGTGATGCTTGACTCCATCAGCCCCATGGCAGTTGACTGTCCTGCAGCACAAGGAATGGGCAACCCCATATGTGCAGCAGAGGATAATCGTGTCAATTCTGCTCACTCAAGTCAACCAGTAGGGACTGGAACTAGCAAATAAATCCCTGCTTTTGTAATCCCTATAATGGCAGCTCCTAACTTAAAAATCTACCAACTAAATCTTACCTATAAAACTTTCTATTAGGTCAATTCCATCATTTTCATTACCTGCAGCACAATGCTGGCTCAGGGAGAGCAGAGTTTCCCTGTCAGTCCTGCACTGGTGAAGGTTTCCTGCACAGTCTCCCAGTGTAATTGGATGAAGCCTGCACTGGGACAGCTGGATTTTGCTTGTTTGTTCTGATTTATTAGACAAGAAACGGAAGCACATCAGTTTTTCCCACTGCAAGTTTTTGCCTCTTACTGAACCATACATGTATTTTTGTGTTTCTAGCGGAGAAATTCCACATTTACTTCTGTGGGATGAAGAGCAACAGCAAACTTCATGTGTGTTTTATTACCCTGGTTATCATTTCCCACTGCAACTGTTCCAGTCTTGGCCTCATGCTTTCTCATTTATGTCCTACTCGATAGCTTGACTGCTCTATTTAGTTAACCATATTTCAAAGACACAATGGGTTTTGAGCCTCATTTGTCCATTTTTCCTGAAGCATCTGTGGTTATGATTACATACATTTCAAAGTTACTTTTATATGACACCTCTTCTGTGCTTGCTTTTCCCTCACACACTTTCTTATGTTCATGAGAAGGCAGCAGAGCTGGTGCTTTGGGTGGTAGGAAGCTCATTCATTCTGCAGGGGAAAGGGCAGCTGAAGGAGCTTCTCGGAGGCTGTGCTGTTCCATTTCTCCTTGCCACCTGTACCATCTGCTGCTCATGTGTGTTTATGCAGCTACAGAGGATTGGGCTGAGGATGAGAAAAACCTACCACAGCCTCCTGGATCCCAGCCTTGGCTAAGCACAGCCTTAAAAGGCTGTGAGTTTTCACCTGAGTTAAAGGCAGTTTCCAGAGAGATCTGTGGCAATGTTAGGATTTTTCCTCTGTTTTCAGATCTCATGTGATGAAATGTGACATTTGCCTTTCCAGCTAGTCAATATTGTTTGCCTTTTCATGTGTTCCAGGTTGGGGCAGATGGTTTGATGAAGCTCAGTGGCTCTGCACTCAACAATGAGTTCTTCACTTCAGCTGCCCAAGGGTGGAAGGAGAGGTTGTCAGAAGGTAAAACTTCCCCAGACAACGATGCAGAACTCTTGAAGGTTTTCAGCTAGTGAATGTTTTGGGGAATGTGTGAAAAAGATTTCACAGAGAGGTTGAAGCACTGGAAGGGAGTTCCTAGGTAAAGGCAGTTGTAGTCAACACAAGCTGAGAGAGCACATGCAAGCCCAGAACTACATCATCTCAAGGTCAAAGAGGGGCTGCAGTGAGGAGTTCACTTTTGAACTTAATGTGTGCAAAAATTATAGAATCACAAAATGATTTGGGTTTGAAGGGACCCTAAAGATCATCTTGTTCCATCCTCCTGCCACAGGCAGGGACACCTTCCACTAGACCCGGTTGCTCAAAGCCCCATCCAAGCTGGCCTTGAAAAATGAGCAAGTCTCTGAAAAGAGACTCAAGACAAGAGGGAAAAATGTGTTTAAAATCATGTTGAGATGACAGAGCTGTGTAATTCTCAAGTGGTGGTAGCTAAATATAGCCCACTGCTGAGCTCAGTGGAGAAGGTAAATTGCATTCCCCAAGTAAGGCACTTGGTCATCAGTGAAGTCGACTGTCCACAGGTGGTGTGGTCAAGTCCTTTGAGCCAGTATTTTTTATATAACATAACATCAGATATTTACTAACCGATAGGACTCCTGCACCTTCAACAGTTGTTTGCATCTTTATCTTAGAAGTGCTTAATTCCATCATTTGATCAAACCACATCACCAGAAGCGTGCTCATGCACTGTGAGCAGGGACCATCTCCTCCACAGCATGCAGCTGACTCATGGGCTTTGTGCTCAGGGCACACCTGGGCTTATGACAGTGTGTGTTTTTAGCTGAACTCTCGCAACTGGGAGACAAAGGATCACCGCAACACTGGAAATCCAGGAATTCACTGCTGCAACAGACACTGTTTCAAAGGACTGAATTTTGAACCCTGTTGCTTTATTACTCTAAGTAAAGGTGTGTGTTCTGCTGGTTTTGATGCAACAGACTTTCTATATTTATTCACCTGGCCAAGTTTATACAAAAATACAAAAGGAAGTCGATGTACCAGAGATTCTGTTTGGACCCTCTGTACTTCTGAAATGAAAAGATGAGTGTCCTGACTTAATACTGACAGGTACCAGTGTGCTGAAAAGGGGGAGCGACTCTTCTCAAGCTGTTGTCTGAGACAGCGCGAGTGGGAAGGCTCCTGTGGTTACATGGCTTCATTTCATCCGTAGCTTTTTTTGAAGATACCCATTATTGCTTTTTGCAGGTGAATTTACACCAGAAATGCAGCTAAGAATACGACAAGAAATAGAAAAGGAAAAGAAGGTCGAGCTGTGGAAGGAACATTTTTTTGAGAGCTACTATGGCCAGAGGTAAGACCCTTGACTGTCGTTTCTGCCCTTGCACTGCCTATCCAGGTGTACCTGTTGCTCCATTTGTAGCGTTCATCCACCAATAAACACCATTTTTCATTAGTCCTGAAAGCTGGAAAAGGCCTCCAGCTTAATCCAGCTGCTGCAGAACTGAGAAAACGCCTGAGGGACTTAGGTCAGAAGTGATGTGTTTGCTGTCATGATTTCTAATGCTTTAATAGCCAGTGTAGAACTGGTTTCCTCAGGCAAGGCTGTCTTTTAGACTTGACATCTTAACTTTTCCCACTCCTTACTACATTACTTTTTGACACTCCCCTTGTAGGGTTCTTCCAGTGTCAGGATCCCTAGGTATGGTGGTGGAGCATACTCTACCCTGCAGCAAGTCACCTGCTACACGACATCTTGTGTGTTTCCCCACATCCAGTGGGACACAGATTTGGTTAACTTACCATGTTATCCAGTCTTTTATTCTGTTTCTTTTTTCTTCATGATCTTCCCATCCTTTTGGGCTATGGAGAGGATCTCAGGTTTCTGTGCAAGTAACTATACTAAGAAACTTGAAAACAGACAGACACAACTAAATGAGTAATAAGGAATTTCTTATTCTGCACCTTGCCAGTTGGCTGTCGTGCTTGTCCTTGGGTGGTCAGCCAGTTGTCCTCTCATTTATCTATCATGTGTTAACCCTCTAGAGCACTTAGATTCCTACAAGCCCTATTCCCACAAGCCTGATTCCCACAAGACCTGTCATTCCATGGTCTGATAGCTTGAGGTTTCACAGGTGAGTGGGAAGCTGGGTGCACACATGGACACACAGCAGGCTGCAGGACTAAGTAAAGGAATACACCAGGACAAGAAGTAATCTCATGACATTAGCAAAGAGCTTTCCTCAGTTGCCTTACCCAGGTGTCTTAATGTTGAAAAACAGGATGTAAACACACATGTTGCTCTGTGCTGGGTGGTGAAAGGTGACGGCCACATTTATGAAGCTTTAGGGGGACAGCAGGACAGCATGGAGGTGGCATGCATGGCAGCAGGACTTCAGTTGTCTCTAGCTCCCAAAAACTTGGCTGATAGAAATCAATCCTACAGATTGATCAGGCTGCCTCATCTGACTTCATGGGTTAGTGTTTGGGCAGAAATCCCAGATTTCATAGTTTAAGAGGGATGAATTAAGTTAATCCTAAATGAGATGTCACTCTGGCAATTAGTGTCCCATCTTGTTAATTTCTGTCACAAATAAAGATGGAGGAATAATACAGGGAAATACTCCCATGTCTTTGATGATAAAGGCAGCAACGTTGGGTCTAAGCTGAGGGAACACCAGTGGTTCCAGCACTAGCCATGTTCCTCTAGGGAATGCTTCTCAGTGTCCCTTCCCACAAACATCACTGTATGAGCTGAAGTCAGATGGAAGCTGCATGGGCTTGTTTGCATGCTGCAACGATGTGCCTGTGGCGGCTAATAACAGAAGCATTTCTTGTTGGCCAGATTAATTTGCTTTGCAGCCTAGAAAATTGGTATCGGGATAGAGGACTAGATCTGACCTGTGTTCCAAGTATTTCACTTAGTTGGATTTAAACTTTGCTGTTAAGTTCTGCTTCATGTGGAAATAACAAGAGTACAGAAGATTTTCAAGGATTCTGGCACTGAATTAGATGTGTGAGACACATTTATTTAGGGTGTGGTATGTAGAGAATCCTCACAGTTTTTGTAAGGATAATATGCTTTTTGCAAGAATGTTTCACAAAATAAAAGATCTGCTTTTCTTGATAGTTCTGGGCTAAGTCCTGAGGAGTCCAGGAGACTGATAGCGAACACCGGCCCTGCCGAGACAGAGACTGAAAATCCAGCAGCTGAGCCACCAAAATGCCTGCCAGCCTCTCTGGTCCCACTCAAAGAGGAGATGACCTCTCTGTTAGAGTCTAAAGCACAAGCAGTCCAGGAAGCACCAGCAATGAAAAAAGGAGGGGAGGAAGGAAGGGAGGACGTGCAGCTGAAACCAGCCAAACCCACAGAGGCCTCAGTCTCCCCTGGTGCGTGCGCAGTGAAACCCAGCGACTATTCCTTCCCTTTAAAAGAGAGAGTCCACGGAGAGTCTGTTCAAGAGAAACTACAAATTGTCAACAGTCAAAAAGCAGACATAGAGAGAAAGCACCCTGCCTCAAAGGAGGTGCTGGGCAAAGAGACTGTCAGTGCCTCAGGTGTGGCTCCAAGTAAACCAAAGAGCCCCGAAGCAGGTGAAGTAGTAGCAAACATGAAAAGCCCAGTGATGACTTCAGAAACACCAGAAAAGAAGCCCCCTGTAAATGAAGACATGGAAGTCAGTGTGGAAGCACCTAAGAGGAAGTCAGAGAGTCGGGAAGAAGCTCCAACCACTCCCGAAAAAAAGCCACGCATCATGGAGACCTGTCAGCACCACCAGGCATTTCGGAGCCAGGCACAGCCCTTTCCTGCTGCGGGGACCCCAGTGCCGCGTGTACCCCCACTCAAGGTAAAGAGAAACAAAGGCAGCTCCACGGAGCGCCTCACTGGGTCAGCTCAGCTGGTGGCTTTGTCAGTTCAGTTCCAGTTAGGTGTGTAAACTGTGTTACCCACTTACAGTGATGGAAATATTTGATCCAAAGTTGTCTCAGTCGTTTGCTAAAGGGGATCTGCTGGCTGGGTAATCAGCATGACTTAAGTATCTTTTGTACATGTGCATCTGTTGAAAGATCTCTTGGGCCAGAAGCTCAAAGAATAGTGCAAAAGCCCAGGGCAAAGCATAACAGGGAGTACTGCAGTTCCTGCTGGAAACTGGGCAGGAACTGCAAGACCACAGTAACAAAGCAGGTTGTAGCCCAGAGGTGCACAGAACTTAGCAGGTGTGTGAATATCCCCAGTACAGTCCACAAAGACTGTCAGCTATCAACAGCTTCCTCTGATCTAACAAGTCCAGGACCTAACTAACTTACCTGTGTTTAAAGAAAGACCACCTAGAAGTAGCGCAGTTACCATTTATACCAGCTGGACATGGCATAGCATCAGACTAGGTTGCAGGGAAAGATTCTTCCAGGGAACACCTCCATTCCAAAAGCCCTTTAGCTGCTGAGTCTCAATGAGAAACCTACACGGGAGAGGAATCAGGCAGTTGTTCACCATGGGGATAGGGCAGGGGGAAGGAAGCATGAAAGAACCGCTCCAGCCCATGGCCTGCACCATGCAGTCCTCTGGCATCTGAAACCCTGGTGGTGGGAGCACACACCTGCATCTGCGCTTCCAGGAGATGCCCTGAAGGACCTCATCACTCAATCTGGGCATTCCATCCTCTTCCAGAAAATGATCACAAGATTTCACGGCACAGATAACCCTGATTCTTTCTTGATATTATTTATAGTCAACAGTGGATGGTAAATGGATGAAACAACACAGAAAAAATTTGCAGTCATGTGTGACTGTGTGACAGGAGAAGTTTGGTTTCTGCAGAATAGGGCCTCTGCTTTTTCTAGCAGAATGTGCTCTGGTTACTGTTCAGCTCCCTCATCTGGGGCCTTAGGCAGAAGTTGTAAATGGAAAACTGCTTAGCTGCTGTATTTCTGGATGTCCTAAGAATTCTACTCTCCTAGTTAAGAGTCTTTTATACTGGGAAGTACACAAACACACATTTTACAAATAGTTTGTAAACCGTTTGTAAGTAAGTATAGTTATAAGTAAATAAGTATAAGTTAATAAGTATAGCACAGGGGCAGGAAAACATTAATGAATGCTTTCACTTGTTAGTGAAACCAAAACTGGGGGAAAACTGTCAATAAAAGGTATTTGGAATGTCATACAGGAAGCACAATTGATCAGCCAGTGTGATAAAAATGGGATTAAATTTAACAATGGAGTGAATTGAAGGGTGGTTGCAAATAGTTTCCCCTGTGAGGTAGAAAAGACAGATGTGGTGAAGTGGCTACTCAGAGGAGGAGGGGTGTCAGCAGATACATGGGAACAAAGGTAACTGTAAAACGTCCTTGCTTAAATCTTCGCCAGGGAGACAGCAGAGCACTAACGTGAGTGTGCTGTTATCATCACCTCCAGTAGAAGGAACATACTTTCAGAAAGCAAACTGAAATAATGAGGAGAGCAGAGGACATACTTTGGCAGAAAGGACTAAACCCCTGTCATTTTACTACCTACTGATATATGGTAGAGAGATTACTATGACTTTATACAAAGATGCTGAGGAGACAAGTGCAAATCTGCAGGGGTGAAAAAGCAGTGCAGAATCGAGCAGAATGTTGACAAAAACCTTTAAAAGGATATAAATTGCATATGAATAAAGTATTAAATGCAGAATAAGAGATGATAGGTGTTCAGTTTTGGGGCACTCTTACACTTTTTCTGCTTTAGAGTAACTCACAACAGCAAGGGCTGAGCTTCCAGTCTGAGTTACCAAGATTGTAAAGACTTAAAATAAGGGTGTCAGGTGTCAAAAGATCATGCATGTCTCTTAGTATTTATGTCAAGTGAGGGAGAGAAGGGACTTCTCCAAAGGGGTTTCTCCAAAACTACAACTGTTTCTTTAAGACCAAACTAAATATTTCTTAAACACAGGTTAAATGGTCCTCATGTCTTAGCTGTGCTTTTCTTTACCTCTTTTTCAGATTCCCGTTTCCAGAATCTCCCCAATGCCATTTCCTGCGGGCCAGGTCTCTCCCAGGGCACGTTTCCCGATCTCACTTACCAGTCCAGGAAGAAGAGGAGCCAGAACTTTGGCAGACATCAAGGCAAAAGCCCAGCAAGCAAAGGCTCAGA